GGCTCCAATCGCGTCTCGGTTGGCGGCACGTCCGCGGCAAGAGCTCCGAAGCACGCTTCAGAGTTGTCCAGAAGGCAGGCACAGCAGGTTCCCGATATTTGACCGTTGAGATTCTGCAGGCTGGGCTGCCCCGTGCCGTGCGCTCACAACAAAGAGCCCGTACTGTGCTCTGAGGCGGTTGTCGCACCGCCGTGCAGGAGCTGCAGGCCCCCTCTGGTGCAGGAGAAGAGCATTCCACAGTCGAAGCATCGTGGTGACCTGGCCAGGTCCAGTTTCGAGGAGGAGGAGGAGGAGGAGGAGGAGGAGGAGGAGGAGGAGGACGAGGTCGCCGACGAGGGCGGCAAATTTAAGTATCACTTGCCTGGAGGCTTTCCATTCGGGTGTCGCTTCGTAGGGCCTCGGAGTCGGGGGTGGCCAAACCTGCGCTTGCCTCAGCCTCCTTGCGAGCGCTGGCTGGTCCTTGCGCGAGCCCGAATCTTTCGAGACAGTGGGCCGACTGATCGACCAAATGGAGACTGGTGCACTGAAACCGTCAGAGGGAGCCAAATGGGCACGCGCCTACACTAAGGCAAGAGACGACAGCACGCCCGAAGTGGTTCCGACAGATGACGGGCACCAGACGTCGTGCCCCTCGACGCAGCTTCAGCAAGAGACCAGCAACCAGCAACTGGTCTGAATTGTGGGGCGCTTTATCTGGGAGTGCCCCTGAGGTTCTCGAATGACCCGGCCACGTGATTCCTGAGCCCGTGACTCGAGAGGAAATCGTCAAGATCCCGAAGAGTTTCAAACGTGCTGCGATTGAAGCGGATGGGTACCGCCCAGGGCACTGCCAATTCCTGTGTGGGCCCGTTGCGTGTTCCCTTAGCGAAACTCTTGGGCGTATGATGATTGTTGGAGCGGCCCCACACTGGATGCAGACTTTGACGCTTGCTCTGTTCAGGAAGCCAATCCTGGGACGCAAACGTATGGTTTTTCCAGTGCCCAGACGCAGGTTATTGTTTTGTCTAATTAGATGGCAGGCCACTCGGATACAGTCAGGCGTCAGACTGAGCGGGGGGAACTTGCAGTCACTGATCGTGAGCATGTGCTCACCCGCTTGGCAGACTTGAGCCAGTTAGGAGCATGTCAGGCATCAACAAATGACCGAATGTGCGACAGATCGTGTAGTTCCCGTGCACGTGCTGCGCTTTTTTGTGCGCGCATGCGCGTGGGATGGAACCCTGAGCCTGGACGGCATGTGCGCAGGTGCGGTAACACCTCATCAAGGTATTGTTGCGGGTAGCCGTACAGCGACATATGAGATCAAGTGCGAGGTTCTCCCTACTGTGACTGCCAGCGTCGGCTGCAGCTTTCCCTTGGTGTGCATGTTGATGACTAGACCATCAATGAGAAACACACACGCGCTATCGACTCTTACGTAATTAACATGGGGTTCGCCAGTGCCTCCCTGGTTGGCCAACTCTCGAACCTATTCAGCCTTAGGCTGACGATGACAAAATTTTGCATCACGGGCGCGTTTCCAAAACATGTGGAGAAAGCCCGGCTGGCGTCTGACAAGCATGCTGGCACGTATGGTCCATCGATTGTGAATCTAGGCTGCGATGTTACTCCTGGCACGTACCTACGCGTAGGACAAATTAATCAACAACGACATGAGAGGCGGGCAAAACACATGAAAAGGTTCGGCAGGACTATGTCCGCAAGGGACCCTAAGGGAGGCCGAGGTAAGATCTGATCCTGTGGGCTAGAATCTGTTACTTCTCGTAGGGAAAAGGTAATGGGCTGCGCCCCGAGAGAGGTCAGATAATTACGGTCTCAGGCAATTGTGTTTCCTTTGTCTTGTTCCTTGCGGGGCCGACCTGGATCTTGCGCAGGGCACTGGAACCGACGAGGGACCCGATCAAATGCGAAGCCGTGACCCTGAGCTGCTATGCTAAAGAAGTGTGGATGGCCACAACACCTGGACACAGACAAGGGGACGGACTCTCGGTGGGGAAGTCTCCAAGCTGCACAGTGGTGTTCAGAGGCATGTCCAGGACCGCCAGAAGCCTCTCTGCACCCTGAGATCCCAAGATGTATAAGTGATGTGCTTCTTTGGTGGGAGCAAGCGAACTGGTCAGCTCGATGCCTCCGCATGAATTACAGGAGCAACGGCGACCCGCCGATGCTCGCTGATACGCTTCCCTGGCAAGTGGAAGGGCCTGCTAGTCGAGATCTGCTCCGGACCGTAGGATTCGGGGCACCTTCGTGCGAAAGGAGTCCTTGACAGGACTCTCTGGACGGACCCGCCGCGAAGCTTTTGGGCGTGTTAAAAGAGGCACAGTAATATCCAGGGCGTCCTGAAGAAGTAGTGTGCAGGTCTTATGCGACGACGACGAAAGCTACATGACTGGACACATAAGGTTCTGCCCGTCCGTCCGCGCTGCCGCTCTCCGCAAGGAGGAACGCAGGACTTAGTCTGGCACCGACGCTTCGTCTGCCCTAGCCTTAAGGAGAAGCGAGCCGAGAGCCTCAGCGACGAACATGTTCGAGAGGCGCTGGAGGCAGGCGAAAATGGCCCACTATTTGCGAATCTCCGGATTGCGAACCCAGGTGACAGCGTCGACGCTGCGCAGGATGAGGTCGTGAAATGCGTTGGTAGGTCGGGGGGAACCAGCAGCCTCAAGTTCGGAACAGAAGGCAAACTGTATTCGGACGGGAGCTGCCATGCCCCTACCCATGCTTGGATTGCCCATGCGGGGTGGGCGGCTGTTCAGATCATTGGCTCTGGAGAAGTTGGTGGAGCTGCCGGTGGAAGCCTCCCTGCTCGTTTGGCCTACACCTTGCGAAATGCTTAAGAAATCATGGGTTAAGAAATTCATAGTCTCAGAACTTGAATAAAAACCCAAAAGTTCCATTCAAATCTTAGGTTTAACATTGAAA